TTTGTACTGCTATCACTCTCCCTCTGTAAGGATCCAATAATACTTGGTATTTGTTAGTGGCTTTTCTGAGAGATATATTGTATCCGTCTTGACGTTGGATGTCAATGCCTAACCCTGATCATGATGGGAGCCAATATTCAGGCAAGCGAATTGATGAGACACCTCGTTGGAAAGAAATTTTGATAACCTTGACTGCTAGCTGTATCTTAGCTGATTAGATGTGATTCCTACGCGACATAGTTGTGTTCAGTCAATTAGGGACCATCTGCGGTTGAATCTTGGAGTGATCTAATTGACTATCGAAGCCAGTTTAGGTCTCACCTCCGCTATGCAGCACCGGGAAGCATATAACGGGGAAATTCCGCTCCTTTTTGTCATTTCCATTTATTCAGTCCCTCAAAAAATTTCAGAATTCGTTCTCGCACAACTCTGTTATTGAATATATACTCCAGTCAGCTGTGACGTTTTACAGAGTCACATATAAGAAGAGCAAATCACATTGTGTTCAGTGTCAGTGGTTGGTTGCGTTCGAACCTTCAACCTGCACGTCGAACGTCTGGCTGACATGCGATCTTTTGACCCTCTTGGTACATTTCTTCTTGGACGTGATCAGTGCACTGCAATGTGAGCGTGTTCGTCATGGAAGGCTCCCAAATATCTCATTCCAATTTATTTTCCCATGGGCGGTTTCCTTACAATATCTGCTTGGCAGCAGTTCGAAAGAGCCATGTACACAGCGCGCCATTCTACACAGGGCGGTCGATCCCCATAGCTAATACAGGATTACATACGAGTTTTTATCTCTTGTCATGCCTGAATCTCGTCTGGACGAACCTTTGTTCTATATTCTGTTGCAGGCTTACGAAATTATACGTATATATATATATATACGGTATAATAATATATCTGGTAGCCTTATAGAGCTGAAAGTTTGAATGTTCGTCTTTTAACGGGACCATGCGATAGTATGTATGCGCAAGCGAGATTGGCGTACAAATTTGCTACGATGTAGCGAAACCGTGTACATGTCGCAGGGCATCCCAATCGAACACAGCGCGCAACCTACGTTGACTCATCTATTCTTTTATACTATCAATGTTATGGTATTCAAGCACTGTCACTTTATTTTTCAGATTTTTCGCGCCTCAATAAAACCCAGAATTTTTGTCACAAACTGCCGCAGTAATACCAAGACGTCATAAGCAGCCGCTCCAGTTATTTAAGGTCCCCAATATGGATTTGACAGGGGAGGGATTAGGACTGCAAACAAAAACTGGTAGCACGAACTTCAGTGAGATCAGTCGACCAGTGAATGTTGCAACACCAACAAACCTCAGGAGTTGCCCCAAGCTCCCGTCAACAGCGATAGAACAAACTCACAATGCTCATAACTTCTCGTAATGTATTTCACACGCTTCCGTCAAGTCAGAAGTTGCCTACTTTGGATTTTGCGCCATTCTGAAGAAGGTACAGAGAACAGCACTCTTTTGTGTAGACGATGATTTGGTGAGTGTGTTACGCATACTACTGGTGTTGGATGTGTATCGCGACTGGTGTGTCTAATTTACAACCGAACAATCAATATCTGCTTTGCGGCATTCATGACCAAAAAGCTGGAAATCAGCAGCAACAATGCCTTTAGTACATGTTGATACACGCTACATTTGAGGCCCAGTTGCTTAACTTTTCCAAGTCACGAGTGACACTATTTAGAGAGTGTGAATAGATCCTTTGATATTTGTGCACTGACAAGAATACATGTTTCAAGAGCAGGAGGTGTGCAGCTTTACTGAGCTTTGGAAAAACGATTACCTACTTTCACCAGCTTGATAAGCTAATGTGATGGTCACCAGTCATAGCAATTAATTGACATAAGCAGAACCTACCAATTTCACGAGGATTCTCGTAGATAATAGCGAATGTGCGCGGAATGAGAACCATTCCTGCGGTAAGTTTCCCAGGAGTCTTGGCAAAAGATTGTGTGTGGCTCGAATACCATCTCCCATAACACAGCTAGCGGCTTTGTCTTCAATATCACCGTACCCCAGTTCATCAGCGCCATCATGCTCGAGCTCACATCGGGTGTTTTTTACCTTACAGTTGGAAAAGGGCGTTTGGGATGGTGCAGAAAAAAAGAACCCTGGCTCTTCAGTGGTCTCATAGAGGTGGAGTGATCTGGTCGACTTGATGCATCTGATGAGAATGATTATGAACGAGCAGCTTACACTGATGTACCGAACGAATAAAACCGAATAAAATTGGTGTACAATTGGAGCCAAGAATAATTCAGTCATCGAAAAAATCATGACTACAATACAGATCTTTAAAAACTTGCGTTTGAACTGCAAGCCTTTGCGGTCACATTTCATGCCTTTACACTGAAGAACTGTGTTTAAAAGCATTTCATTTTTGTAAAGTCACAATAATATTTGCTAATCGAAAGGGTCACGTTAATTTTCTGGTATGGAGATTGTTTGATTTTTATTTGAATCATTGCATATACTAATGCTTTTTTTAAGTATTCATCGTTTCGAAGGCTTCTAGCCAATTTAGTCAACAGTCCATTGATGGTAACATGTTAGGCTTGTTTATGAGAGATTTTTTTGTCGATTTTAGCCACCGAGAACTTTGTTTCTGTGTGAGAATACTGACCAGTTATTAAATAACACAGAATCGTGTTCCACATCTATTCTCTCCTTACAGAAAATCTGTTTTGCTCATAGTCGCACTCATTTTGCATCATTTACTTCAGATTACTCACAAGTAACGAAAGTATATAGCGTTCCTCAAATTCCACTTCAATCAGTCTACTACTTTGCATTCCTGTGCTGCTTTTGTTATCAAGCTATTTCAACACCGAGGTTTTAACTGTTTTCCGAATTGGTGCGGGATAACGGCAATGCAGTTATGTACCAATTATTTGTCTCTGTCAACCTCTGTTATTAACTTACGATTCATTCCTTTTTAAAGGCTTCAGTCTACGCAATCTCGAATCGCATCGCACGTGGGACATACGGATGGTTCCAATAAAATCGCAGCAATCCAACACAGTCGCATGGCTTGTTAGCAACAATTTCCGAAACTAGATAACCCGCTTCCATTCTATTCAAAACGTCTCTCTACCTTCTACTTGCTGTCTAAATCATTTACTCCCGAATACAAAACGCCTTTGCGTTTTCCTCACAGTTTCCGCTTCGCCTCAACCTCTCTGGTCGGATGGCTTATAGACTCCTACACTTGTGAAATAGCGGCTAACAAGCCTATAACTCGGAAATCTTCAAATCCTTCTTGATAATCCTGAGGATTTAGGAAGATTTTGATCACTAACACTCATGCGTCGCTGTTGTAAAACCGTGGTTAGCCTGATAATGAAGACAATAATGATAGTGGACGGTGGAGGAACTTAGTGCAAACTTTCCACGGTTATTCCGAGGTACATACACCTCCAAACGCTCATTCAGACAATCCGGAGAGAAACTGACAACATGAACGCCAATGGCACCGATTGGCAGCCGTATCTTGCAGTGTCTGTAAGAAGGCAGTCCACATCCTGGAAGGTGAGTGACACCGACAGCGCCCAAAAGTTTCGTAACCTCGTTAATACCCCTCAACCAGCTCAAGGGTTGGCCACCTCTCTTCTTCCGCCACTCTGAATTGAGCATAGCAAGCAGTACTCTCTTCGGCATACGCAATACGTGACCCAACCTACACAGCTTCTGGTGTTAGACACATTCATCAATGGAAGTTCCCGTTTCGCAACCAAAAACTTGCTTTCTGTTTGCCTCGCTATGGATTCTCTGACACCAAATCATACAAGCTATGGTCCTTAGACAACGATAGTAGAACACCCAAAGATGTCTCAGCGTCGCTGCTCTAGCAGCCAAGTCTCAGCCGGAAAACAAAACAACCCGCACTCTAGCCTTTAGCTCGCACTGTCCCTTGAGATTCAGGGATATACCGCTTTCATGCTTTAACCTCATCTATCACACTACACTAACAACTAAAGCAACTTCCAATATACGTAGAACGCTCCACAAAGTTGAGGGCATCCCGCTGGGCTGTAAGTGTCGTATTACTTGTTTGCATGTCCACAATTTTTGGGTGCAAAATGCATAACAAAGGACGGGATAACTTTGATCAGTTCATCCAGAAACACTTGCAACTTCTTCTCTTCGAAGATGAGGATGATAGACAAGATTTTCGTCAGAGCCTATTTGAGCACCGGTATTTTGAAGACCTTGCAGCGTTCACCTCATTATCTCAACGATCACGAGATTATATTGCAGGTGCTCTCTGTTTTTACATTGTAGACAAAGATTAATATCTCACTAGGCTAAGGACATCATTGTTCGCAAAGCACATACGGGTATTATTTTACTCCAAGTGAGGGCGAAATCAACATGCCTTCCATTATGCTTCAGTTCCCTACTTAAAATAATAAACATCGCAGGGTTTCGATATAAACGAATAAACACTGTCTTATGAAAGATACTGCTCATCTATCCGCAACTTGGTCAATTTTTTGGGGTATTTTTTCACTAACTGATTTTTACAATTTGTTTTCTGATTTTGACGCGACTCTGACGAAATTTTCAACCATTTTTGCCCATTGGTATTCGACGTTGACAGCTTCTGCATCTTGTGACATATGGCCCCTTGATATCTTGAACGGTGTTTCGATCCATTAAGCAAAATTTAACTGAAAATGTGGAGCTCGATTTGAATCTCGTTTACCCATAAAGTTGAATGGATTTCAAGTGTTAGCTTCAGATTATTGGGAAGCTTCGAGAAGCTTCGCACGTACTTTCGACTAGAATATATTTATTCTACTTGATGGCCGAGTTGTTCGCCGAACCAATCATCATCATTGTCGACAGCATGACAGCGATGCTTCACTGCGGTACAGCTATGATTCAATTGAAAGCCTTATTGTGAAGAAAAGAATAAAGGTAGACAGGGAAGGGGCTTAGTGCTAGCTTAACACAATCATTCAGAGGTGCCTACACCTCCAGACGTTCACTCAGGCAAGCTGGATAGAAGCTGACAACAAGATCGCCACTGACATCGGTTGGCAGACATATCTTGTAATGTCTCGAACCAGGCACAGTGAGGATCACGCGGTCCCCATCCTGGAAGGCGAGTAGCACCGACAGCACCCAAGCGTTTCGTGATCTCCTTCATACTCCTCTGCCAAGTCAAGGGTTGGCCACCTTTCTGTTTACGCCACTCCGAATTGGG